TATCAATGAGAATAATCACAAAGAGAAAGAGGGAAGTTTGCCTGTAAGTTGTAGGAAAGACTAGATTCCCAATGAAAATATGAATGTTCTATTGGCTTGGGGCTGGAAGAACTAGTATTCAGGCAGTAATGAGTGTCTTTCGACCCAAAGCATCCACTGTATGTACAAATCTCAATGTTTGTTCAGGTCATGAGGCAACAGAATTCCACATGTGGTGGGTATCCTGTAAAGATATTTCATCCAGGTGCTGACTACAGGAAACATGCCCAGCAGAAAACATTTCAAGACTTACTCTGAATGTGTCTTAAGTCTGGTCTCTCTCCTAGATTCCAAGGGTTCTTGGGTTTCATGCAGAATAATTCACTTTTATCAACACATTATTTTTCTAAAGATAGGCGAATAACAGAATTATAATAATTTTATGACTGATTATATGTAATTAGTTTACAGCTAGACTACATTATTTGTGTGTGTGTGCTTGACTAGATGCCTATTTCATTATGAAGTCACTTGGAGTTAGAAGAGGGCTTACTTTTACAGCCACAGGTATTGTTACTGTTATTGATGTTGTTAGATATATTAATTTAGAATTTCAAACTTTTCCGTGAAGTTGTCTGGATGAAAAGCAACTAATGTATGTTAGAAAATAAAAATGTGGCTATGTAGCCATAAAAAAGAATGAGATCATGACTTTTGAGAGAACATGAATGGAGCTGGAGGCTCCATCCTCCAGCTCCATCCATTTTCTGTTGCTGCCTTAGCAATTTAATGCAGCAACAGAAAACCAAATACCACATGTTCTCACTTATAAGTGGGAGCTAAATAATGAGAATTCATGAATATAAAGATGGGAACAACAGACACTGGGGCCTACTTGAGGGTGGAGGGTGAGAGGAGAGGAGCAGAGAAAACAACTATTGGGTACTAGGTTTAGTATCTGGGTGATGAAATAATCTGTACAACAAACCCCCATGACAAGAGTTTATCTATATAACAAACTGGCATATGTACCCCTGAACCTAAAATAAAATTTAAAAAAAGAAAATAAAAATGTGTCAACACTATGTATTCGAAAAATTCTATCTAGATTATTTAAAAAACAAAATAAAGTTTTCAAGAAAGTAGATCACTGTGCAAAATCACTTTTTATCTGTGATAAGTGAGTGTAGAAATGTTAAAAATAAACCACATTAATTTGCCATTTTTCCGTTTGCTTTAATAAGAGATAATGCATTCTCCAAGGACATTGTTAAATCTCATCCTTACTCTTTCTTTCGCCTCTACCCTCTGGTTACTGTGAGAATTAAGATCTCTAATTCCGAAGGAGAGTTGTATGAGGCCAATTTGTGCTTTCCATGGGAAAATGAATAAGCAGGGTAAGAACAGGTGGAGCACATTTCCCACAGGAAGATGATGGGGGCTGCATGTGGGTCTAGATTCCTTAAAAGGACAAAGAGGCCGGGTGCAGTGGCTCACGCCTGTAATCCCAACTCTTTGGGAAGCTGAGGCGAGTGGATCATGAGGTCAGAAGTTCAAGACCAGTCTGGTCAAGATGGTGAAACCCCGTCTCTACTAAAAATACAAAAATTAGTGGGCATGGTGGCGGGTGCCTGTAATCCCAGGTACTCGGGAAGCTGAGGCAGAGAATTGCTTGAACCGGGAGGCAGAGATGGCAGTGAGCTGAGATCGTGCCACTGCACTCCAGCCTGGATGACAAAGCAAGACTCTGCCTCAAAAAAAAAAAAAAAAAAAAAAAAAAAGTCAAAATAGGGAGAAGTAACAATCAAAAAGGGCTTAAAAGGGCCTGCCTGTAATCCCAGCACTTTGGAATGCTGAGGTGAGTAGCTCACCTGAGATCAAGAGTTCAAGACTAGCATGGCCCATATGGCAAAACCGCATCTCTACTAAAAATACAAAAATTAGCTGGGCATGATGGTGGGCACCTGTAGTCCAGCTTCTCGGGAGGCTGAGGCAGAATTGCTTGAACCTGGGATGCAGAGATTGCAGTGAGCCAAGATCATGCCACTGCCCTCCAGCAATATCAATAGAGTGAGACTCCGTCTTGAAAAATAAAAAATAAAAAAGGGCTGAGACTCAAGGACTTTCCCAATCTAGTCTAGATTTGTGTCAAGAAACCCTTTAGAGATGTCAATTTTTCTTTCCCCTTTTAGTGTCATTTGAGTACATATTCTATTTGTTTACATATTTATGTTCAGATTTCCAAAGATGGTAAAGAAAAATGATGTATATTGTGATTGACTTACAATCGTATTGCTATTGAATCGCCATACTTTGAATTGTCTCTATACTGAGAGGTAACATAACATAGTCAAAATTTTGATGAACATCTTTTCATGCAGGTGCGCACGTGCGCACACACACACACAGAGACAGTTTTATGTAAATAGGATCATATTATACATGCTATTTTATCATGGACATCTTCTTTTGTCTTTTTGCCTAGTTTCATCTTCTTTTCTAATCACTTTCATCTCTAAGTTAGCCAGTCTTAAAAGCTTAACGTGTATCCATCCCAATTCTTGTTCATTGTACAATCACATACAAATTCATATAATCATATATTATGCTCAGCACATGGAATATAACCAAATATTTAGAACAGTGTCTTGAACATTATAGGTGCTCAATAAATATTTGTTGAATGAGTTGTCTTAGAAAAGTGGAATCATATTATATATGCATATAATGTGTGTGTATGTGTATGTGTATGTGTATATATATGTTTATGTATCTGGCTTTTATTGCTCAATATTCTATGTAATTTTTTATATAGATTTAATTAATTATTATAAATGGTTGTATAATAGTTCATGGCTATGAAGGTAACAGCAATTTATTTAACTATATCTCTAATTGATAGTTGAAATGCTTTTACGTTTTGCCAATGTAAACAATAATAGCTATCCCCTATTGAGTGTTTATCATATGCTAAGTGGTTTTTTTTTTTTTTTTCACTTTACGTGTGTTAAACTACTGAAGGGTTAGGCTATTGTCCCCGTTTTAGGAAACTGAGCAGGCGTGGGTAAGAAACTTGCCCAAGGTTATACAGCCAGTAGGTGGCAAACTAGTCAGTATGGCTCCAAAGTATATTTCACTGAACTACTTCTATCGAAGGTAGTAATCAACACTATTGTACAAACACTTAAATTGAATGGTCCTTTATTTCTACTCAATAGTTTATCTGGCTTAGAATTATTGCAGAAACATATGTGTATTTATATGGCTAAATTGCTCTGCAAAAAGGCAGTAACAGTTTACATTTGCACCAGCAGTGTATGAGTGTTCTTTCCTCTAGCAGTATTATTTTTTAAATATATATTTATTCTTTTCTTTTTTTTTCAATCTGGTGGGTGAGAAGTATATTCCATTGTTAAGTCTGTATACTTTGTAGACAGTAGTGAGGTTGAACATTATATGTTTTTCACTCATTTGGATTTGCTCCACTAAAAATTGTTGTATTTGGGCCCTCCAGAAAAACAAAACCAGTTAAGTGTGTGTGTGTGTGTGTGTGTGTGTGTTTTATTTTTATTTATTTTAAAAATTGGCTCCCACATTTATGGAGGCTGGTACGTAAAAAATCTGCAGGGTAGGCTGGCAGTCTGGAGACTCAGAGATAAGACAATGCTGAAATTCAAGTCCAAGGGACTTGTGCTGCATAATTCTTCTTTCTCAGGGGAGGTCAGTCTTTTTTTTCTATTCAGGTCTTCAATTGATTGGATGAGGATTACCCACAGTATAGAGGAAAATCTGCCTTACTCAGAGTTCACTGATTTGAATGTTAATCTCATCCAAAAGCACTCCCACAGAAACATCCATAAAAATGTTCGATCAAATATCTGGATAACATTACCCAGTGAAGTTGACAATAAAAATTAACCATCACAAATATCTACTAATATGTTTTCCTTATTTTTCTATTGAATTGCTTACATCTTTTTATCACCTTGAATATTATTGTAATCAACCCATTAAATGTTTTGTGAATATTTTCCCCATCTCTATTATATCTTTTATTTTTCTTACACTATTTCTCATCATTTTAAATTTTAAATTATTATTTTGAATCAGTGAGTCACTGAAATTGAGATGAAAATTTGGACACCATCATTTTGATCATCACTATTGAGTTTCTAGTCTTCTAAGATGATTTTAAGAGATTTTTCAATATTTATTTTCAATATGTATTCAATAAATATGATATTTAGTTATTAGTCAATATTTATTTGAAATCGTTCTTTCAATTCTAATGCATTTTTGAAAGATGTTGAAATTAGATCATCTGTCCTTTTCCAAAAAAAGGAATCTAGAGCACACAGTTCTCACACGTGGAAACTATTGTTTAGAGGTTTTAAAAGTTTAAACCTTTCATATGTAATATTGATTGCAATGTTTAATTCTTAGAACTAGTCGAATTTATTTATTCCATACCATATTTATTTTTAAAAGTTTTCTTCGAAATTGCTTAAAACATAGTCTAAGCAAATTGTTGAAATATTGTTCTCATTTAATTTGACTGTCAATTTTAATTTTTAGTAAGTATATATAGGTACTATTTCCTCTTGTAAAGCCAACATATTTTTCACAATAAATAGTAGCTATTCCTGTCACTTCCTGCAGTGAGACCCATATAAATTATATTCTCGTATTTTTATTTCCTCCCGATATCTAGTGCATATTTGGCCATCATCTAAATATTCATCAAAAGAATAAACGACTTCCATGACAGCCTGGTAGCACTCCGCAGTCCGGTGGTCCAGGTTACAACGTGAGGCCGAGGAAACTACGGATTACTATCCAATTTGCCTGCACCGCTTGCTAAACTACAATTCCCAGTACGCAAACTCCATGGTTGCAGTGCATCCTGGGAGAAGGTTTCCGGCTCTTCAATTGGCCAAGTAGGAGAAGCTGTGGGTTGGGCAAAAACGCGGGCCTTAACGCACGTACGCACGGAGACTGCGCAGGTCTCCTCGTCTGAGTTCCGAGGAACTCATTTTGAGTGTGGGTATTTTAGCACGTAGGACTTAAAAACAGTTACACATCCGGCGCCACCGGAAGCAGCTTTAAAATGGCGTCTTCCTCGCTGGAGCGGCCAGAAAAAGCTGCTGGAAAAAGTGAATTTCGTAACCAGAAGCTGAAGCCGGATAACCAAGGTGATGTTATGTGGGAACCGAAGCCTGGGGTTTGTGGACGTTGAGTTGCGATGTTTCTTTCGTTGTTTGTTGACTTATAAAACCACCTGGAGCCTGTTCTTTGTAGTTAAGTACCGGAATTGCTGATGATTAAGATTGTTAGCCGGGCCCACCGGAACGACTAGCCGATATGGTGTCACCCACGTGTTCCTAACTATTTCTTTTGCTGAAGGGTCCCCCAAGCGAAGCTCTTGCGGAATGCGTATTCTGTAAAAGGATGAGGGTTGAGAAAATGTCCAGGGCGCTGCGGAACCTGGTAGCGCGCGGGTGGCCGAAAGTCACTGACGGAATGAGAAATAGGGTGAGGTGGAAATAGGTAGTCATGACATACAGGTGTGGACCCTGATAATGGAGTGAGATGTGGGGAAAGGAGCTGACATGCCCTTAGCTTTAGTTTGTCAGTAAAGAAATTTTAATAGATTTATCAATTATTCCTGTGTCATATTGCTAAAATATTAGACGACACAGTTCTTACTCTTTAGATTGTGCTACCTTTCAATTAACTCCTGCGTTATAGTCTGGTTTTACCCATTTTCTTCAGTATGAGTGACAGAGATAGAGAAATAGCCTGGGGACCTGCTCAACCAGGCTATAGGAAGTGTTAAAAACATCGAACTCTCAATTTAGATACATTGGGAAAGTAGTAAAGGTTTTTTTGTTGTGGCTCATTAAGTGGTTATGTAATGTAAATAGCAGAGGTTACAACTTATATACAGTTTAAATAATAAAAACATGCAAGAACCTAGCATTCAGACTACTAAGTAGAATAGAGCAAGCATTACTATACCCCTCAAACCCTTATGTACACCTCTCAGATCATATTCTCTTTTCCAGATTCAGAAGTAACCACTCTGAATTGTATTATTTTCTTTTCCTCTTCTTGTAGTCACGAAGTGGCTTAATTTTGCGTCATTTTCAATTTTATACATCAAAGTGGACTGTATGCATTTTTCTGTGTCTTCTAAGGTTTAGCTTTCTGTTTTTCAAACAGGGTAATACCCGTAGGTGTAGTTTTAGTCTTTTCACTGTTACATGGTGTTTCCTTGAATGAATATACCCCAATTTATTTTTTCATTTTACCGTTGGTGGACATTTGGATTGTTCACATTGCTTACAATTATAAACAATACTGCTAAAACATCGTGGTACATGTCTTCTGGTTAGCAAGGGTTTCTCTAGGTTATGAACATAGGATTGCAATCACTGAAGTGTAGGTTGTGTGTAAGTAATGCTAACTTTTTTTTCCAAAGGGGTTGTGTCAGTTTTGTCCCTACTAGCAGTGAATGAAAGTTCTCATTGCCTTCCATTCGTACGAATACGTGATATTATCCGAATTTTGAATTTCTCTCATTTTGGTAGGTATGAAATGGTATCTGGTTGTAGTTTTAATTTGCATTTTGTGATCACCTGTGAGGTTGCATATCTTTTCACGTGTTTGGGGGCTAATTGTACTTTCTTAATTGTGAAACTTCCTGTTTATTTCATTTGTCAGTTTTTTTCTGATTTTGGAGTGGGGAGTTTTAAAAAAAACTGATGCATAGCCTTTGAAGATTTTAAATTGGATAGGGACTTGGTCAGGTAAGCATTGTAAGTAACTAGTTGCAGTGGCTCATGCCTGTAATCCCAGCACTTTGGAAAGCTGAGGTGGGCGGATTGCTTGAGCCCAAGAGACCAGCCTGGGCAGCATGGCAAACCATTTCTCTACAAAAAAATATATATATATATACAAAAATTAGCTGGGCATGGAGGCACATGCCTGTAGAACCAGCTAGTTATGAGGCTGAGGCAAGAGGATCAGATTGCTTGAGTCCAAGAGGTCTAGGCTGGGTGACAGAGTCAGGCCCTGTCTCCAGAATACACACACACACACACACACACACACACACACACACTAAATATAAGTCACTTTTGTAGAATGAGTTCTTTAAAGGATATTGGAGAGTGAATGGTATATGAAGACTAGCCAATTGTCTGTGATTTGAACCAGAAATAGCTAAGTGGATGTGAGTATATGCAGAAAGTTAAGCTGTTTGAGGTTGATAAATAGACTAATGACCTGCTTTTCAGACTTACTGTACTTCAGAGTCTCCTGTTGAGCATGGTAAAACAGACTTCTGTCCCTCATCCCAGAAATTGTGATTCAGTAGGTCTGGGGTGGGGCCCAAGAATTGCATTTCTTACAGACTTAGAGTTTATGCTGATACTGCAAGTCTGTAGATCATACCTTTGAGTATAACTGAATTAGAGTATAGCTGTTGAATTTCAGGGGTTCTTAAAATTCAGGACCAGGACTTTTAAAAATCAATGATTCAGGAGATAATTTATGACCCTTAGGAGGCATTTTCTTTTAGTGAAAGGAGTCCCAGGCTGAGTCAGCTTTGTGTTCGCTTAGGCAAGTCACTTAGCCTTTCAGACTGTCTTCTATAAAATGGTAATAATAATACAGATTCGTTCTAACTTCTATAGTTATGATGAAAGGCATATGGAAATAAGGCACTGAAAACACTTAGGAAAACCTAGAATTATCAGTGATTTTTTTTTTGAGATGGAGTTTCACTCTTGTTATCCAGGCTGGAGTGCCATGATGATCTTGGCTCACCGCAACCTCCGCCTCCGGGTTCAGACAATTCTCCTGCCTCAGCCTCCTGAGTAGCTGGGATTACAGGCACGTGCCACCATGCCCAGCTAATTTTTTTGTATTTTTAGTAGAGACGCGGTTTCGCCATGTTGACCAGGATGGTCTTGATCTCTTGACCTCCTCGGCCTCCCAAAGTGCTGGGATTACAGGCTTGAGCCACCGCACCCGGCCACCAGTGATTATTAACTGAAAGTATAAACTAGAATCCTCTTTCGGAAGTCTTACACACACACACACACACACACCCAGGTTCCATCCACTCCAGGAAAGTCAGAAAGATTAATTGTATTTAAAGTAATAGACAAAATGGCATTCAAATCTTCATGATGAAGTATGTGTTTCTTGAATACTCACTATCTGCTTGGCATATGCCAACTAGAGAGAAGAGGGTTTCTGTTTTTAAGGAACTCTGTCTTCTGAGGCAGCTGAAATGTGTACAGATAATTTTAATATAGTGAGTTGATGATGACAGGAATGTTCTTTGACTCTTAAGTAATATAAAAAGCAGGGGAAGAGGAAATGTAAGGAGTATTTAGAAGGCTTGTGAATATGTGCATAAAGTGTCCAAAAGACAGTTAAAATGTGATGTGTAACTGTTTTCCTTTCTATAGATGAATCAGAACTCCTTACTGTTCCTGATGGTTGGAAGGAACCAGCTTTTTCCAAAGAGGACAATCCCAGAGGACTCTTGGAGGAGAGCAGTTTTGCAACTTTGTTCCCCAAATACAGAGAAGCTTACTTGAAAGAGTGTTGGCCATTGGTGCAGAAAGCCTTAATTGAACATGTATGTGTATCTTATTTTAGACTTTGCTTTTGCTTATGTCGTTACTTTTAAGTAAGTGTATGTATGCTGATGTATTTTTTTAAATAGTGCTAACATAGCAGGTTCCTTTGGTTCCTTTGGTATTTTAAATAATTTAGGTAAGTCTTTCTACCTAATGATCATTTGTTTTTAATTTTATGTTGAAATATTCTTGAGATTATGCTCACAAGTGAGAAAATAGCATTTTAATTTGCTTTATTGAAATGTTTTTTCTGATTGAAAGTTGATGCTTTAAGTTTTCTAATCATTGCTTTTTTCTGAACCTATCAGAATTTGCTTTTAATTTGTATTTAGTCTGATAATCAGCTAGAAAAAGTTTGAAAGGGAAAGTCAATTCTTACTAATAGAGCAGATGGTAGACTGGAGTTGGGTCCAAAATAGGGAAGCTATACAGCTTTACATTTTTACTTTAGTCAGATTTTAAGTATGGCCTCATTTGGTCGATTTATAATTTTAAAATTAGAGGCAATCTATATTCAATGCTTACAAAGTATTCTAAAACCAAGTGTAAATGGTTTCAATTGCTCCAGTTTCTTATAGTTCATTAAGTATGAAAGTAATCGAGTATTCATTATTTATGCTTAATTACCTAGCTTCTTCAAGGAAGTAATTGATAGAAATTGAGAGGTGACAGAAATTAATAGGTTGGTTGGGATAGGCTTTATAATTATCTAAAATAAACTCATTTTTAGACAACTGAGTGTTTGTTCTTCTTTTTGTAGCATGTTAATGCAACCCTGGACCTGATTGAGGGCAGTATGACTGTTTGTACTACAAAGAAGACTTTTGATCCATATATCATCATCAGGGCCAGAGATCTGATAAGACTGTTAGCAAGGAGTGTTTCATTTGAACAGGTAAATCTAGAAGTAGAGACTTTGCTTTATTTGCATCAGGGTAAACCTATAGCATCCCATCTTTTCCTCCCTCCCTTCCACTATCAAGTTTTCATGTTTGTGCTTAGATAATGTTAGTGTGGGCTTGGAAAATAAATGTGATTGTAAAAAATGACTTTTTTTTTTTCCCCCAAAAGGCAGTACGAATTCTTCAGGATGATGTTGCATGTGACATCATTAAAATAGGTTCTTTAGTAAGGAATAAAGAAAGATTTGTAAAACGAAGACAACGGCTTATTGGTCCCAAAGGATCTACATTGAAGGTACTTGTTACTAGTGGAAAACTTGAGCCTTTTCTTTATTAATTTTTCAGAGTAATGAATTTTAACTTGTTCTTTTGATACAGGCATTGGAACTCTTAACTAATTGTTATATTATGGTTCAGGGAAACACAGTTTCAGCCATTGGACCTTTTAGTGGCTTAAAAGAGGTGAGAACTGTATTATCTTCAATTCATTTTCAGCATAGAACAAATGATTTGGTTATAATATAGTTTATTGGATAATATATTGCTTTATAATTTTATTTTTTTTTAGAATATACTTTGTTTGATTTGCCATTAGTAAATACTTTTTATGTCATGTGATTCAAGGGAATCAATTTTTGACCCTAACATGTTACGGCCAATCTTTGGCAACTATGGAGACATCTGTTTCTGAATCAGAAGGTCTGCATACCATCACTCCTTCCATTATAAAATTTAAATGGGCATGTAAGATCTTCAGTCGGTAGCATGTATCATGAAAAACATGATGTAGTCACGTGCTCAAATGATGGGAAAACTGAGCAAAAATCCAGTTATTTGCAGTAGTGTATACAGCCAGTAGAGGTCACACTCTGAAAACTTTTCTTCAAGAAAAGTTTTCCTATGTTTGAATTTTAGTATAGTGTTTAATAACTTTTCACGAACATTTAACTTTTCAAATTAAATGTGGTGAGAAAATCTGTGGGCAGATGCTATTTCTGTTGACTCCTTTTGATACTATTACTGTCTAGATCTGGCTTGTGAGGTTGTGCTTTCTTTCCAGGGCCTTTAATAGTAAACCTGTTGGCCTCGTTTCTCACAAATTATCTGCTCTTTTCTCATGGAGCAGTAATTAAGTATATTGAATAATTTTATAAAGTCTTTATGTTATTTCTTACTTTAGAGTCTTGAGATATTTGGTTTTATGTTCATATCACAAATGGGAAAGCTGGAACAGTAAAGTGCCTGTCCTATATGTGGCGGCAGTCCTTGTATTTCAGCCCTCCTCCTCCTCAATCACATTGTTCTAGAATGTTGTGTTTGGTCTCTGTGCTACATTTTAGCAGTAATTGAGAAACTATATTGTATTCAAGGGAAGTTGACTGCCTTTATGAAAGATCTAGAAGCCATTCAAAGCAGTTAAAGGAACTACTGTGTTTAATTTGGTACCCATTATCTGATTGGATATTTTGTGTTATTAATTCTCTTCTCCTTAGCTCATTAAAATCCTTGTGACTAATTTGTTTTTCTTTGCAAATTGCAGGTTAGAAAAGTAGTCCTAGATACTATGAAGAATATTCATCCAATTTATAACATTAAAGTGAGTATAACTGTACCAGTGGTTGTCATACTTCTTTTAGCTACAGAAACCTTTTTTGAAATTAAGTATGTTATGAAATTCTAAAGCACAACCAGATAAAGCAGAGCTATTTTGGGTAAATTAAGGGTAGAATTCAGCTGACTTAACTCTACCCCAGTTTTATAGGTACTTCCTTGGAAGCTTAGGTCTCTATGGAGCACAGTGTGAAAACTACTGAAGGGGATACTGTACTGTGTTATATAATTCTAATCAATGTAAATAAGCTTCACAGAATTTGTTGTAGCCTCATAACCAGTTTTCTTAGATTAGGAACCCTTGTATTTAAAGATACAATCTTTCAGAATTCTGCCTTTTTCTAGTAAATAAAATCTAGAACATCTCGTGTTACATTTGCATTAAAATGTTTTTGAATTTAATACTCAAATTGTAGCCCCTTTGAGAGAGATCTGTTATATCACTGTTCACAGAGTTTGATTATGCTGGGAAATGTAACTGTGGCATGAAGAACTATTTTATGATGGGTTTGTTGAGCAATCCACTTAAATTTGATGAACTGTTAGGATGAAAGTGATTTTGAGTTACATTGGGACATTGCAGATAAAAACAAAGCTATGTATCTGATTCTCAGTTTGCATTCTCTGATGTTCCAAGGCCTGAAATTTAAATGGAATAGGGAAATCTGAGAATATTGGTTTTCTGTAATCATGAGAAAGTGTACTTTTGTCTTTTTCTATATTTCATTTGCTACTGAAAACTTCCTGCTTTCAGGGAACAACTAATTAAGAACCCTCCTCCCTGCTTTTCAGTTGAATTTTAAACGTTTTAATGAAATAAGGGTTGAAAAGTTAAGTCAGTGTTATTTTCATCTCATTTTAACAATTTGCATTGTAATTAAATTTCTAAGTTTTCTAATACTTGGGTAATTTTACATGTTTGAGATGACCTTTTGCTTATGTAATTGGTTTAATTTCACTAAGACTAGGAACTGTTCTTTTTATTTATAAAAGCAGTATCTGTGTCTTACTTTGACAAACGTGTGACTTTTGAACATAAAAATTTTTACTTTGTTGCATGTCTAAAGAGCTTAATGATTAAAAGAGAGCTGGCAAAAGATTCTGAATTACGATCACAAAGTTGGGAGAGATTTTTGCCACAGTTCAAACATAAAAATGTGAATAAACGCAAGGAACCAAAGAAGAAAACTGTTAAGAAAGAATATACGCCATTCCCACCACCACAGCCAGAAAGTCAGGTTAGTACTAAATGTAGGACTTTATATGCTGGAGATCTATTTAGTCAGAAAATTTATTGAAGGTATTTCAGGTGAAGTGTATATTTTGCATGAGAGGTATAATAAACTGAGGGCAAATGTCAATAGGCATATTTCAAGCTGAGTGCATAGGGGTGGGGAGTGTGGCCTTCACATTGATTGTAAACTGCATCGAGGTGGTTTGTGTCTGTTGTGTCCTGTAGCCACTGTGAATGTTCAATGGATAAAAGTTCAACAGTTTAGCCTGCAGTACTCTTTACTCTGCTTGGGCAACAGTCTTGTGACTATGTGCTCTATGATTGTTCTAGCTCCGAAATCTTAAATTTTAACACCCACTCTTTTTCTGAGTTATGATTCCCTTCCATTTTGTCAGCTGTCCTCTGCTTCCTTTCCTTTCCCAACGTGACCAAAGTTTTTTTTCGTTCTTGCCCATCTTTGTTTTTATTCATGCCCCTTTTTACTTCTGTCACACGTTCCCAGCAAAACTCTAAAACTTGGATCAGTCTAAAAACTTGACCTCTTCCCTGTAACATGGCTACCAAACTAAGTTAGAGAAAGTTTTATCTTTGGATTAAATTCATTCAAAATCCATGTTTCCTCTGAATTCTGTCAGTGCTCTCCCAGGGTTAGCAGATGACATTGCATTTTATTGAAATATTTGAGACTACCAGGTAAGAACCCGTTTCCTCTTCTTTTACATATGGTTTTCTTCCATCTGCATCAACCTTTTGTATGTGTTCTTTGAATTCCATCTTCACCTGTCTGCTGGTGGCTCTTGCTTCATTATTCCTTCCCTTGGCTCTATCCTAAAGCCTTCCCTTTCTACATCTCTTTTTCTCCACAACCGTGTTAGAAGCCTTTCAGGAAAGGTTTGATGACAGGTCAGAAGGGGAAAATGATGATCATAGTGAAAAAACAACGGAAGTGTTGCATCATGGAGGAAATTGATAGCAATTGGGGGAGGTGGAGTGATGCAGGCATTAAATCATGCTTCCATTATACTACCCTTATTTCTTAGGGCCCTTTCTTGGAGTTAGTATCTCTCTAATCTAGCTGTGTAAGCTAGATTAGAAACTGATGTCTCAATTGACTTGTTCTTACACGTATTCATTATGTGACTATGTTGTTTATGCCATTCGTACTTAAGTTTCTTAAATGAGTGAGCAATTGTAAAGAGCTTAGAACAGTGCGTTAGATATAATAATGCTATATAAGTGGGAGACAGGTCAGTTACACACATTTTACATGTTGGCTGTTGCTTTCTCTAATTAGTCACCAATTCCTGACAGTTCTTGCTTTCATTCTGCATGTCTCTACCTTTATTCCAGGCTCTCACCTATTCTTCATTCCTATCCATTAAAATTATGCTTTGGTCTTTTCAGTCTTAGAAACCCAGAGTCATTTCTAAATCTTACCCGCTCCTTTGCCTAGCATTCAAGTTTCCCCAAAACGCTCCCTGAAGTTTCTTCACACACTCTTCTGAAACAGTGACTTTCCATACCACCTGAACTACTCCGGGTTGTATTCCATGGAGGTGCTTTCCTACCTCCATGCTTTTGTGTATGTATTCCCCTCAGCTTAGACTCTATATCCTTGATGTCACTACCATTTTTATTAATAAATCAGAGTTTGACCTCATCAGTTTTACCCTAAAGATATTGTGACTTGCTTGCCACATGACTTCTCCACTACATTATTTCTAATGTAATTTAATTGTAAATACCATTTTCAACAGATTGATAAAGAATTGGCTAGTGGTGAATACTTTTTGAAGGCGAATCAGAAGAAGCGGCAGAAAATGGAAGCAATAAAGGTAAGACACTTTATGCATAGCTCACAACATTAATAGCAACTTTCATAGGTACTTGAATTATTTAACTAAATATGTTTAATGTATTTATTATTAATGTAGGCTAAACAAGCAGAGGCCATCAGTAAGAGACAAGAGGAAAGAAACAAAGCATTTATTCCACCTAAAGAAAAACCAGTTGTGAAACCTAAAAAAGGTAATGAATGCTTTCTATGTTGTAAAAGTCTTTATTAACCATGAAAAGTAAACCCATAGTGAATTTGTCTGAGTCTCTTTAAGTGTTGAGTAAAGAAATAACTATCTATCTTTTCTTCAGGTGTCTTAGCATTTCATTAATTACTCATCTTAAGGACCAGGGATGACTGAGATAATATAATTTAGAGGCAGTTAGGGCCTATTTCAGTGCACACTGGATTGACAGTCCTCCCCTGACCTCTGGTCTGTGCTTGAGAAAGACTCTTTGTTCCAAAAGATACAAACTTTGTAAAAATAAAAGTAATGGAAGCAAGAAGATCTCTGAGCACTGCTATCATGCCTCTCATAGAGGGATTGTAATGTTGGCTTAAAGTTTGGTTTCTATATTAATAACATGAATTTCTCATCACCTTGGATTAAAGGATGCTGACAGGTCTTATCTAGGAGCTATTAGTGTAGAAGTGACTGCAGTTTTTGCCACTTAAAAACCATAGTCACTTTCATACTAACCTAGTACTTAAAAGACACTAAGAGAAAACACTCCATGCCTTTTCTTCATTTCTAGTCTCACTCTGATGCAGCCTCTTCTGCATTTACTTTCCCTGTGGTGTGACACTTGTCCTCTTCCTAAAATAACCCTCCAAAGTGAACAGTGACACACTGAGGGGAGAGGGCTCACCAGCAATATTGTACATAGACTTGGTCAGAAATAGATATAACATTATTTTAATATCTTATATTGCTTGTTAATACTTGCAAATACTGTCTTCTATCCTAGATTATTGATTATATAAAAGATGAAAATGTCATAAGTATTATAATTTCTAGTCTGTACAACCTGTCAGTTCAGTGCTTTGAAAGGTACTCAGTAGCTACTTAACCTTTGTCTGTAATGATTAAGAATGTAGTTTCTCCACACCGGATGGAGGCTTTAAATCTCTGTGCTTCTCAAGTTGCTGGGTAGTTTGTACATTATGACGTCTTGTCTTACTTTTTTTATACTGTGATACTGTACTTCAAATGGTAAGAAAAACTTGCATTCTTTTTCACTGCTTCCTTTCTCTAGTTTGTTCACACTTTGGCATTAGATACTTGGATTCTATAAGGGGGACCTCCAAATATGCCCAAATTATTGTCTTTATTACCAAAATCTTGTTAAATAAAATAAAACATCAGGTATTCATTGAATTAATATTTGGAAAACTAAGTTTTTGTTTTAGTATTAGAGAAAGTAGATTTTGAGCTCTAGCTTATGGTTAGCTGATTAAAAAAATTTTAAATTACATGTAGCCCTTCTAGTTTCAATAAGTTTAATGTGCAAGATGGAAAATAATTAGGACTCAAAAATTCTAAAATATGGAAAAGAATGTAAGTAAAATAATTTAGTCTCAAGTAGGTTTTAAGGAAAGAGTCTTCCTAATTGAATCTAGTAATTGGTCCCAACATGCCATTTTTATGTATACTTGTACTAATATATATTGTATATTTATTTTATTATTCATTTTCTCTTAACTCATTAGGCAGGTGTTTTTATATTTCTTTCAATTATAAGAGTACTCTGAAGTTAATTGCCTTAAAAACACATTGTTTTACTTTGTAAAATAGAAGTATTACATGTATTGTGATTTTACTTTGTCTAGCTTCTACTGAAACTAAAATTGATGTGGCCAGCATCAAGGAAAAGGTTAAGAAAGCAAAGAATAAGAAACTGGGAGCTCTTACTGCTGAAGAAATTGCACTTAAGATGAAAGCAGGTGAAAAGAAAAGAAAAAAAAAGTAACATACACAAAATTCCTTGACTAGAACTATCTCCTTTTGTAAAGGATTTTGAGATACCAGGCATTAATTAGTTGCCTTATTTGTGAGAAATTTTCTGAGGTTTTGTGTGTGTGTGGTTGTTCATAGAACAGTGTTCTTTATAAATTATTGTATTTTTTTTGAAAATTTTATACTATAACGTGGTATGTATGTCTTTGTATATATTGTGACCATTGTGATTATCCATTAAATCCAGTGACTGATGCCATTGATCAGATATAATGATATCTCAGTATTTGGTGCTCCCTCTCTAATGATAACAAGTAAATATTTAGGTTTATCTCTTTTGAAATTTTGATCAATCCTTTAAACAATCTGCAAGCAGAAAATTAAGGCCTCTGAAATCAGATCCCCTAGTTACTCCTGTTTTCTCAACCTGGGGAAGTGGTAAATTGCAAGAAGACAGGGAAAACCAGATATTTAGAGTCAAAGCAGCATGTAAACAGTAATAATAATGTTTTTAACTAATGAAGGATACTGGAATTACTAAGAATCACCTAAAAAAGTGCTACTGTACCTTGCTCATTTTGCAGATTTGGAAGCCGAAACACAGTTTAGGTACTTACTGGAAGTCCACATGTGGCAGCCTGCAAACAGTGCTTATTTATAGAAAAGTGAGAGGTGAACATGAGTGTATCTGATAGAGTTAGGAAGTTTCTTCTTTCGAGTAAGAGTAATACTGCAACATACTTTTTTTTCTGAAATGTTTAAAAATAGAAATACACCTAATTGTTATTGGTTAAAAAAAGCCATATGAAGGTTGGTTTTTTTTTTTTTTTTTTAACCTAGATCACATTAGTCCAAAAGAACTAAATTAGGATACTTGTACTGTATCAAAATGGTAATTATAACCGACAGCAACAGAATTACTGAATTAACAATGAGAAAGAGAGAAGTGTATCTATTACGTGGATATATGGGCCAGCCTGGATACACAACAGAGTAGTAACCTGTGGAAAAAACATAGAATATCGTCTTAGACACTGTTCCTCATAATGCACTGATAGAATTCACATAGGTCTTTATAAACAAGATTGATGTACATACGTTTGACTTTGTCTCGCTGTTGGTTAACTGTAAGGTTAGGGAGAAGAAAAAAAAAGGGTAGGTATAGGTGAGGGTTTATTTTAAAAAGCTAAGTCTTTAATTATAACCATTAATTTGCAACCAACTTGGTATTTTTAAGTTGATTTTTTATATAAAATTTTATAAAAAGGAAACTATACCATTACTATAAATGGAATATCATTTTATACATCATAACCGGCAGGTAATAAAATTTAAAAAATATTAGAAATCGTGAGAAATTTATTAAAATATATTTCTAAAACTAAGTTCCTTCTTGAGAAGAATGATACTGTTTATGGTGAGTCCACAGTGAAGACAATAACATCTCGCTCATCCAGTCTAGTATATCATGAAATCATCGTTATGATGTTTGGCTATCAAAAGTTATTAGTTACACCCCTCCTTTCACTCAGCTTTATTCAGATTATGACATTCAGAGCACTGGGAAGAAATAAATTCCACAACTGCCTTTAGCCTTCTGGATATTTTCTTTTATGAAATAGAAACCTTTTCCACACCAGTTCTGCAGCAGTCACTGTTCTACTTGTGGTAGGAGCCATCAAGAATCTGGTCCTCTGGGGACTTGTGAGCCTTCCTGGTCTTTATACCTGGGAGTGGCTTTGTCTGTGGTGAATTACTGTAAAGATGCTACCCTCATTTTCTTGGCAGTTATGTCCATGAAATCAAGAGTGTGGTGTTCTACTTATTTTTTCTTATATTTTCAAATGTTCAATATTCAACTGTTGAAACAAATGTGCATCTGTGCACTAGCTAAAATCATCTTAGGTACCACAAGCATGCCCAGCACATTTTGTAAAGCAGTCCTGATTTGGCCTCCAGGGGTATTTATTGAACTACCAGCAGTATGTAGGAGACCACAAAGGAATTTTTGTTCCTGTGCTTGCCATAATTTGTCAGAAGTGGAATCTGTTAAATAAAAGCTTTTATCCTCTAAACTTTACCTTCATCAGAACTTACAAAAGGTGAAATGGTTATTCGTAAGTTTTTTTAGTCACAAGTCTTATTAAATATTATTGCTGAGTAGAATAACTTTCAAATAAGTCTACACTTACATGAAAACAAATTACATAAATCTAGCTTTGGCTTGGTGCGTTGGCTCACGCCTGTAATCCCAGCACTTTTGAGAGGCTGAGGCAGGCAGATCACAAGGTCAGAAGTTCGAGACCAGCCTAGCCAATATGGTAAAACCCTGTTGTCTTTACTAAAAATACAAAAATTAGCTGGGTGTGGTGGCATGCACCTGTAGTCCCAGTTATTTGGGAGGCTGAGGCAGGAGAATCAATTGAACCCGGGAGCAGAGGTTGCAGTGAGCCGAGATCATACCACTGTACTCCAGCCTGAGCAACAGAGCGAAACTCTGTCTCAAAAAAAAAAAATCTAGCTTTGAGAATGGAAAATTAGTGACAAGATCAATCTGTAGGATGCTGAGCTCTTACCCGAAGTAAATGGGTAATGAGTTTCACATCTTACAAATACCATGCAAGTTAGCATGTGTTTTCTGAAGAGTCCAAGGGTTTTCATTACTGGACTACAGCTTTAATCTTCTACATGTTATTCTGCAAGATTAGAGATCATCTCAAATTAGACTGCCAAAGATAAAAGCTAAAACCAGCGTTATTTTTCTCACTGTGGTAGTGGTGGTGGTAGTAGTATTAATAATTACATAGATTTTTAAAGGGAAAGTTAATTTTTTCATTGGATTGTTTTGTTGAAAAAATGGCAGAAACTTGCCCAGTCACAAGTTTCTGGAACTGGAAATTGCACTGAAACGGCATACTGGTTTTAAAACCCATGGTTTTAACCCTTATGTATACTGCTTAACTTGGAAGAAATATGTATGTTTTTAAGAGCTACAGCACTGTAAAAGAAAGAATTCAGTGAATATGTTGATACCTTGATATTAGCTGCACTGTGGCTACGTGTTACATTGAGTTTTCTTCACAAGAGTGCTATGATTGGGAGGCCGAGGCGGGTGGATCACGAGGTCAAGAGATCGAGACCATCCTGGTCAACACGGTGAAACCCCATCTCTACTAAAAATACAAAAAATTAGCTGGGCATGGTGGCGCGTGCCTGTAATCCCAGCTACTCAGGAGGCTGAGGCAGGAGAATTGCCTGAACCTAGAAGGCGGAGGTTGCGGTGAGCCGAAATCGTGCCATTGCACTCCAGCCTGGGTAACAAGAGCAAAACTCCGTCTCCAAAAAAAAAAAAAAAAAAAGAGTGCTATGAGTGAAATAAAGCATAATTGGACTGAGAGATAAATGGCTCAAAAAACTTTGAAAAAGTCTATCATACAAAAAGAAAAGTATTCAACATTAAATGGGAAAGAGGAGAACAAGCAGTTTAATATGTAGAATTTTAATTATAGGACTGGAAAGGACCTTAGAAAACATGTGAGCAATGGAACACTTTTTTTCCAAACAAAATTTGATGCAGTGAAACTTGGCCCACTCTGTCCTTCCTCAATTCTAAGCACCCTACTCTAGCCCAGCTGCTCTGAGTTGTTACAGATGTGGACATAAAAGTACCATAGGATTTGCACAGCTGTAGTAGCTTAATTGAACGTTCCCCTTCACACCATGGTAAAAATAAAAACATACTGGGATGGAAGAGCTTGTGTCTGGAACAAGAACCAGAAATAAAATTTTGGTCAATTACTATATTCCAAAATCACAAAGCAGAATTTTGCTTGAATTTTTAGTAAAACATCCTTGGAAATTTAGCTGCATGCAGCTTCTACACTTTTTCATTAAATGCTGTCTGGCTAATAAAAGTGCCATGTTGCAGCTTTATTTATTCTGTTTTTATTTCTTTGAGACAGAGGCTCACTGTGTTGCCCAGGCTGGAGTGCAGAGGCACAATAACTACTCACTGCAACCTCCACCTCCCTGGCTCAAGCAATTCTCCTCCCTCAGCCTCCTGAGTAGCTGGGAATACAGGCACCCACCACCACACCCAGCTAATTTTTATGTAGTAGAGATGGGGTTTTACCCATGTTGGCCAGGTTGGTTTTGAACTCCTGACCTCAAATGATTCACCTGCCTTGGCCTCCCAAAGTTCTGGGATTACAGGCATGAGCCACTGCACATGGCCTGTTGCAGCTTTAATTCGTTTAGTTCTACAGATGTAGATTCAAACCCTGAGTGCCTTGGGCAGGTAGGACTACAGAATGCAGAATCTGTTTGGATGACCTGTTATACTTATTTTTGATCTTGCTGAAATAAGCACATCTTAGGAACATTAGTCTGTAGCTTCTAAATACTTTTTCTTTGTTCGACCAATTAGAATTAAATAAAAAGAATGTGATTTTCACATTTAAGTTTATCTTATGCATATTCCTAGAACAGTAAGCCATTGGTTTAATTGCTACTTGATGCCAGTTTCCTTGAAGACAGTCCTTAGGATAAAACAAATGGTTTCATTTTTAATTCTGTAGAAAGTTACAAGTTACTATTACGTTTTTCTATTGGTAGACTGTTCCTTTTACTCACCACAGAGATTGTCCAAACACTTGTCATTATTGGGGCAGGCACTGCAGGTGGCTCCTTTCTTATATGGCCAAGTTGGGTAATTGCCTCTGTAAGGAGGAGGATGTCCATTAGGAGTTCTTAGGTTTTTTAATATTGCAATTTACTATGAATCCTTAACTAAATCCAGAAGAATAGTAGAATGAAGTACAAAGGTCCAGAGAGTTGGTAATAGAAGTAAAGACAGGAAGGCAGAAATGGAAGACTGCTAATATTTGCAGAATTCATTCTGTGTACCCATGTCTACAAACCTGTTTTAATCTGCATTCCATTTAACTGTGACAACTCTGGGTGGAAGTTATTGTTTGTTTTACAGATAAGGAGACAAAAGATGTAAGAAATTAGTAACTTGCCTTTAATCACAGTTTATACATTTCAGAGTCAGAGGAAACCTAGATTTCACTCCAGAGCTGTGCTCCCTCCAATTTACCTACCCTCTAGCATATATGATTACTGCCATTCAAAAAACCGTCCATCTTAGAAAAGCTATGGTGACCCACATTCAATTTTGTCAGTTGGTCAATCCTCCCCAGTTTTCACTGGATAGGAGCCATTTGGCTGGAGTAAGTACCTTCCAAAAAAAAAATAATAAATAATGGCATGGGAGAATTTCTAAAGCGAAAATTGTTTTCACATACAAGATGTGATATGACTAATAGCTACTAATTAGTGAGTAGTCACCATGTGCTTGTCTTTGTTCTAAACACCCTTGAATGAAACAGTCTCCACAAAAACCCTATGAAGAAGTTAGTATTGTCTATTTATCCCCACTATATAGCTAGAAGCTGAGGCACAGAGTATAAGTAATTGACCAAGGTCACAGACTAGAAGTGAAATAATACCCAAGCACTTTAAATCCCCATAAATATCCTCATAGTAGTAAGTCATCAGGCTGCACATTTATCTCAATGAACTTGCCGTTGCACAAATCTTTTTTTGGAATCCTGCTTTTGGAAAAACTTCTAAACTTTTTTATGTAACTGTACCCTTTGCAGCCTGGTGAAGCCTATGGGCTCTTTCTCAACATAGTTTGTTATTAAATGCGTAAAATACATAGGATTATAAAGGAAACCAATTAAATTGAAATAGTTACCAAACTGTTTAAAACTAGATTTGTGTTACAATAATATGTGTTTTCTTATTAAGGTCTAGAAAGGTGCTATTAAGTTCTAAAGTAGTGATGAACATAAACTATATTTTGAGATCTCTGCAGCAACTGGAATATGTTGTGAAAATATCTGATATTTACAAAGATGATACTGCTAACTCAAAAAGTCACATTTATTGCTAATATGATGGTGGAGTGTTGCCTTCATTCATAATGAAAGGAAATGTTATTTTTAATAGAGGTTAATGAAAAGAAAGATAAAACATTTTTTCTAATCAAAGTTTATAGTCCTCCTCTCCCCAGTACTCTACAATTACCTCCAAAGTTGAGAACTCTCACCTTAGACATACAACTTTATAATGACACCTTATTTCCAACCCCAAATATATGTTTTTATCTCATTTTGCTCCAGATTTTAAGTTGCTTCAGAAATTTGTCTTGTGCTTACTCTACACCATGGGAAAAAAGGTAATATAGCAGAAATTCTGATAGCAATTACAAAATATGTCCAAAACAGTCATTAATCATTGGAATGTCTTTCATTGTTAATAAGCACAGTACTTATTAAGTGGTTTAAGTTCTAGAATGGTTTTATTAAATCATTTATGATGCTTAGTTGTGCATTCCAAACTATAAAGGAAAGGATAAAAAACGCTACTTAAAAATAAGCTAAAAACCAAGACATTGTGAGGTCTATGGAAATGATTGAATTCATCTTGGGAGAAACATGCTGCTGGCAAGGCTTGGATTTGTCTAGAAGGTAGTCATTAAGACAGTGGGACCTGAAGTATTCAGCCCAATAAAGTGGCAAGACATTGCAATGATTTCCCGGGTAGCTTGAGAGAAGAGGGTTGGTTGTGGGACCCTGGAGAAGACAGAAAACAGATTTTTGAAGAAAAAGATAAGGTCCGGTTGCAGTGGCTCACACCTGTAATCCCAGCACTTTGGGAGGCCACAGCGGGTAAATCATGAGGTCAGAAGTTCGAGACCACCCTGGCCAACATGGTGAAATGCTGTCTCTACTAAAATTACAAAATTTAGCAAGGCATGGTGGTAGGTGCCTGTAGTCCCAACTACAGCTACTCAGGAGGCTAAGGTAGGAGAATCACTTGAACCTGGGAGGCAGCGGTTGCAGTCGGCCAAACCACGCCACTGACTCCAGCCTGGGTGACAGAGCGAGACTCTATCTCAAAAAAAAAAAAAAGAAAAAAGAAAAATATAAATATGAGTAAGGGTCCCTAAGGCAGTGATGGCCTAAGCACACTGGTACTATCTTGAGGTCAAAGTTTTTTCCTCTTTTGTGCTGTAATCCTCTCCTCCGCTAATTCACTCTGAGTAAAGATCTGTTACACACCATACCCTTCCTTGTTCAGTGGTGCCCAGGGGAAATGAAGAGTGTGTTACAGGCAACTGGAGGATTAAGCATCCCAGACCCCATTCTGAGGTGTCCTCAGAAATACTGGGGAGGATACTGGACTTCTTAAGGTTATGTAAAATGGGGGCCTTTTACTTTTTACAAAGTATCTAGAAAGAAAATAACACCTCAGAAGGCAGAGGGAAATGAGGACAATCCTAAGTGGTCGCTTGTATTTTACCTTTTATGCTCCTCTAATCCATTTTCCACCCTGACCTCTAAATTTAAAGGTCTCATGACTCCCCTGCCTAATATACCTGGATGGCTTCTTATGTAAACTTTGCCATGATCTAAAAGTTCCTGCTAGATTGGCACTGCCTTCCTCCCCACCATTTCATCTGTTCAGTGGATGCAGGGCACCGGTCTCTGTGGTTTAAACTTGCCAAACTTTTCTTCAGTCTTGCTGTTCTTTTCTCTACCAGACAGCTGTTCCAGAAGTTCTTATGTCTGATTCCTTCTTATTCTTCATGCCTAAGCTTAAATATGTCACAGGAAGCTCTTCCCTGATTATTTTAAATAGGGGCTTTGCCTATTGATAGTTTCTATTACAGTATTATTTATATTTTCATAATTGCCCCTATAATGATGCAGTTATTTTACTTGTACTTTTATTATCTGTTTGCCCCATAAATATTACTCTCATAAATGCAGAGACTGCCTTGTTCTCCTTTGGAGCTTAGTAAACAAATATTTGTTGAATAAATGAATATTTGAAGTTAATCTTTATGGAAGCATTTTAACTTTGGTTATAAGATTTACAATTTAATATTGTTTATAACTGAGGATAAGTGAGTCTAAAGCAGGAAAATTTACATTTGCACTTTAATATAGTGAATAAAAATCATGAATACTTATAAAATATTCACCATTGCCAGGCATTATATATAATATACCTGGTATTTTTTTTTTGAGATGGAGTTTCACTCTTGTTACCCAGGCTGGAGTGCAATGGCATGATCTCAGCTCACCGCAACCTCTGCCTCCTGGGTTCAGGCAATTCTCCTGCCTCAGCCTCCTGAGTAGCTGGGATTACAGGCACGCGCCACCGTGCCCAGCTAATGTTTTTGTATTTTTAATAGAGATGGCGTTTCACCATTTGACCAAGATGGTCTCGATCTCTTGACCTTGTGATCCACCCGCCTCGGCCTCCCAAAGTGCTGGGATTACAGGCTTGAGCCACCGCGCCCGGCCTATACCTGGTATTTTACAAAGCTTTCTCTTGTAACTTTCATAGCTACTCTAAGTGGTAGGTGCTGTTATCCTGGTCTATTGGAGATTAAATTGAGATTTGGAGTTAACTAATTTGTCCAGGGTCACAGAGTAAATTAACTGTATCTTAACCATTAAAAATGTCATATGAGGTCAGGTGTGGTAGCTCATGCCTATAATCCCAGCACTCTGGGAGGCTGAGGCAGGTGAATCACTTGAGCCCAGGAGTTGGACACCAGCCTGGGCAATGTGGCAAAACCCTGTCTCTACAAAATATTAGCTGGGCATAATTGCCCAGTGTGTGCCTGTAATCTCAGTTACTAGGAAGGCTGAGTTGGGAGGATCACTTGAGCCTGGGAGATAAAGGCTGTAGTGAATCATAAGCTAGCCACTGTACTCTAGCCTGAGTGACAGAACTAGAGACCCTGTCAAAAAAAAACCAACAACAACAAAAAAAACATAAAAAGTTACCACTGACTGAATCATGGCTTTGTCTACTTTTTTTCTGGGTTTTCTTTATTTTCCAACTCTAGGATATTAAGTCAAAGCTGTCATCTTCTGAATGATACTTGGTTTGTCTTTTCCTTCAAATACCTACAACACTCAATCAGAATATATAGCATGTCTTCTGCACGTTACGTCAGGGAGAGATGAGTTTCAGCCAATATCCAGGAATCCAAATAAAATTCAAAAGCAGCAAATTAAAGATCATCATATATATTGCATAGGGTTAAAAAGCTTTAAAATGTAAACAAGTATTACAAATAAGAAAATCATTCTAGAAAAATGGGCAGCCCCCATGATTCACACAAAAAGGAATATAAATACGTGAAGAAATGTACAATTACTAGTAATCACAGAGATGCAAAACAAATGAAATGCCATTTCCATCAAATTAGAAAATGCTAAGAAATTATAATACCTAAATACAAATTGATGTAATGGCGCAATGTAATTTAGCAATATGTATTTAAAAATAAAACAAAAATGGTCATACTCTTTACAGGCTAGTATTATCTCAAGGAATTGTAGGGAAATAGAAGTGACTGCAGATATATACACAAGGTTGTTCATCATGTATTAAAAGAAAATATAGTGAACAATCAATTCTTCAATAGGATAAACTGTTGTGCTACCATCAAGAGCATGGACTCTGGAGCCAGACAGCCAGATCAAAGTCCAGCAATGATATTCACTAACTGTAGGACTTTGGGTAGGTTACTCACCCTGTACATGGCTTGCTGTTCTCATTTGCCACACAGGGGCAGTAACAGGACCCCTCACGTAAGCTTTTAATGAAGATTAAGTTAATATATGTGAAGCACTTTAACAGTGCTATGTTCATTGTAAGCATTATATAAACAATTTATCATTGCTTTTATGATTAATATCACTTAAAATTTTGATAAGGGGAAGAATGTTCATAGCACAGTTTTAAGTGAAAAATAGAAAATGTGTATTTTCAGTATGATCAGTTTTCTAAACATGGGTATGATCCATGCACACATATGTAAGTTGAAAGAAAGGAGAAGGAAGGTGTTTTCCCTGTTCCCAAAGTGGGAAGTGTGTCTGTTTTAAAAACAACTATCAAAAGTAAATGAAATAGGTTATATAAGTTGAGGAATTGTTTTGTTTTGAAAATTGCATAAAATTGCTAAGTTTTTTATAAACCAATAAATATAATGAGTTCTTTCACTTCGTTGCATTATTACTATATACAATTTATGTCTCTGACAAACATTTTAGTCTTACCACTCTTAAAAATATGTACATATGTTTTTATGCAGTATATGTAAAGGACATATGTACGTACACGTACACTCTCTCTCTCTCTTTCTGTCTCTCTCTCTCTCTCTCTCTCTTAATCCAAGAAAAATGTACGAGAATGTTAATGAAGTATATCTCTGGGCAGAAGAATTAAGGGTTATGTTACTTTTTTCTTTATACTTTATTATCCAGATTTTCTATAATGAAGAGGAATACTTCTAAAATAATTTTGTTGTTCTGTGGGAGGGGCAGATTCTCAGGCACTTACCCTGGTCCGTAGTTGCATATAAAATGTGCTCCATTGAAAAGACTGTCAAAGCCAGAAACTCTAGGGCAGAAGTGGACTGCGCAACCAACTTTGTAACTATCTGCCCAAACAACCTGAAAAGAAATAGGACTTTTTAACAGAGAGAAACAATAAGATAAATATTTGGGTATGATTAGGTCTTCATAAACTTGGTGAGGTATATCCACTCGAGTTAGAGTGCTTAAAACTCAGGAAGTTTTAGATGCTCAGAAATCACAATGAAGAAATAAAACAGGATAATGCAATAGAGAGTGATTGCTGTTGAAGTGATGCTGATGTAACTTGGGTGCTCAGGGAAGACATCTCTGAATAGGAGGCATTTGAACTGAGAATAGGACGATGAGGATGCAGCACTCGGGACAAACATTCAGGAAACTTAATGGAGGAAGAGCATTCCAAGCAGAGGGAATACCAAGGAGAAAGGCCCTGAGATGGAATTTGCTTGGCATGCTAGAGTGGCAGGAAGAAAGCAAGGGAAGCCGAGATCTGATGAGTTGGGCAAGAGTTGTAAGCAATGAAGTCAGAGGCAGAGAAACAGATTGTGGAGATTCTTGTGAGTGGTATGTTCTTTTTCGTGTCTTAGAAAGATCACTTTGGTGATTATGAAGTAAATGGACTGAGAAGAGCAAGGGAAACAGGAAGGAGGTAATTTTGGAGGCTGTTTCAATGGTAAAGAATGAGAAGATAGTGACTCACACTTGGATAATGCCAGTGGAGTTTCTGAGAATCAGGTTCATGACTCAGCTTAGAGGTAAGCTAAAAGGACTTGCTTTTGTTTTGAGTGCAGGGTAAGAGGGGAAATATACAGTTTTGGTTTGGGGTCTGAGCAACATTTACTGAGATGCAAAAACCTAGGGAAGGAGAAGGGTAGGTGGAAGCATGGGCAGGGGGTTCAGAACATGTTAATTTTCAGATGCCTATGGGACATCAAATGAAGATTGACTTGGCTGCTGCAGTCCAGAGGATGGGGTAAGGCTAGAGATGTCAATCTGGAAGACATGGGACAAGATTAGATTACACCTGCAAATACAATAAAGTAAATGAGAGCCTGGGATAATGCAAGCAAACACAAAACCAGCCAGCAAAACAGACTGAAAGGAGTTGTCAGTGATGTAGAAAGGAAACCAAGAACAGCGCGACCTGCACTGTTACATGGGATCCAGCACTCAAAAGAGCTTCATGCTTGGTTTAGATCAGCGCTGTCACATATCTTAGCACCTTGAGTGGTGCTTTTCCCTTCCTTTCCGAACAAAAGGTTCCACGTTTTCATTTTGCACTGGGCTCCACAAATTCAATTATACAGCTCACCTTGACCAAGAGTATTTGGTGTCACAAAAGGCTAAAGAAGAAAGAATTTAAAGGTGGACACAGCCAGCAATGAAATGTACTCCTTTTTACAGCAATATCAGATTATATTTTAAATTATTTTTTTACTCATAAGTTTTTGAACAATTCTGTAGAACTATGCTAAATACAGGGGACACAAAAATGAATGAAGTAGAACCAGTAGGTACCTCCACAAAACTTAGAAAAAAGCAGTCATGAAACTCATCAGGCGAGGATTTTGACAGCCGTGAAGGGGAAGTGGAGGGTGCTAAGGGCAGGGATGGCTCGGGGCCCTTCTCTGAAGAAATGAGGTGAAGCTGGAGCTGCGATGAGCTGGTTTGGAGTCTTCCAGCAGAGGGCAACATCCTATGTGAACCCAGGGTGGGGTTGACCCATGACCCATTCACTCAACTGAAAGAAAAGCCAGTGTGGCTGCAGAAAATGAAGAAATGAAAAAATTTACTCTAAAAATAAATGAAATTCACTCCCTGTATTTTTTTTTCCAAGATGAAGTTTTGCTCTTGTTGCCCAGGCCGGAGTGCAATGGTGCGATCTTGGCTTACTGCGAACTCCGCCTCCCAGGTTCAAGCAATTCTCCTGCCTCACGCTCCCAAGTAGCTGGGATTATAGGCATGAGCAGCATAAGCACCATGCCCAGCTAATCCTGGAATTTCAGTAGAGATGAGATTTCACCATGTTGGTGAGGCTGGTCTTAAAGTCCTGACCTCAGATGATCTGCCTGCCTCAGCCTCCCAAAGTGCTGGGACTACAGGTGTGAGTCACCATGCCCAGCCCTAGGAACTTGAAACTTAAATAGCATCTTGAATAGGGGCTGAGTAAAATGGGGCTGAGACCTACTGGTCTGCATTCCCAGATGGTTAGATATTCTAAGTCACAGGAGGTCAGCGCAAGATACAGGTCAAAGACCTTGCTGATACAACAGATTGCAGTAAGGAAGCCCACCAAAACCAAGATGACGACGAGTATGACCTCTGGTGTCCTCACTGCTACACTCCCACCACTGCTATGACAGTTTACAAATGCCGTGGCAACATCAGGAGGTTACCCTCTATGGTCTAAAAAGGGGAGGCATGAATAATCCACCCCTTGTTTAGCATATGATCAAGAAATAACCATAAAATTGGGCAACCAGCAGCCCTCAGGGTTTATACTTTTTGTTTTTGAGACAGTTTTGCTCTTGTTGCCCAGGCTGGAGTACAATTCACCACAACCTCCACCTCCTAGTTTCAAGTGATTCGCCTGCCTTAGCCTCAGGAGTAGCTGGGATTACAAGCATGCACCACCATGCCCAGCTAATTTTTGTATTTTTAGTAGAAATAAGTTTCTCCATATTGGCCAGGCTGGTCTCGAACTCCTGACCTCGGGTGATCTGCCCACCTCGACCTCCCAAAGTGTTGGGATTACAGGCGTGAACCCCTGTGCCTGGCCTATTCCTTTACTTTCTTAATAAACTTATCTTCACTTTATGGACTTGCCCTGAATTCTTTCTTGTGTGAGATTCAAGAACCCTCTCTTAGGGTTTGGATCCTGACCCCTTTCCTCTAACACCTGGAGGGAGAGTAGGAAGTGAGGGAAGAGGGGAGCTGAGGTTGGAGTCTCGGCTTCTCCAAGATTTAAAGGTGTGGTAGAGGTGGGGACATGACTAGGGAGATGGTGGGCAGTGTGGGCTGCCTTCTCTTTGGTTTGGCAACTGGAGAGGGTACCCTCCTTGGGCAAGGGAGAGTGTACTTCCCTACTCCATGATCTAAAAGGGGTACTCCCTAGAAGCATTTCTTTATCCCCAGGAATCTCCTGCAGGGAAATCCAGCCCGGAACTGCAGTTGGGATAGGCAGTGAAGCAGCTTAGGCCTCTGTCTCACTGAGAAAACACAGCTTTGTAAGGGCTGTTAATCCTCAGGTTTGATCATTAAACTTCTACTTTCTCATCAGTTTGTTGATTTTTAAAATTTCTTAATTTTCTTCATGTATCTCAAAGTGATTTACCTGGGGTGCTCTGTTTAAAATGCAGATTTTGGGCTCATTTCAGACCCCCTGAATGCCATTCACTGGAGTTGGTTTTGGAATCTGCCTTGTCACAAGCTCCTCAGGTGATTCCTATGCATGCTAACTGTGTTCAGTGTTGTCTCTTTTTTTTTTTACTATCACCTTGGCTCATTCTATATTTTTATCCTTTGGTCTTCAAGCACTTTCTTCCTTAGTATTGTTGTATTAAAAGTATTCTTAATATTTGGATCTCTTCCACATTTTAATACTTTTTCTCCAGAAGAGTACAGATGTTAGTTACCATTCATTTTGTGTTTTAGTTGGCTTTTTTTTTTAAGTCAGGTTTATTAGGGTATAATATACAGTGACATTTATGATTTTTAGGTGTACCTTTCTACAAATTTTGACAAAAGAATACAGTTGTGTAGCCACTATCACATTCGAGATATAGAATATTTTTATTGCCCCAGAAAATTCCCCCTGTACCCCTTTGTGCTCAACCCCCATCCCCAGACCCCAGCAATCCTTAATCTGTTTCTGTAGTTTTGCCTTTTCCAGAATGTTATACGAATGGAATCAGTCTAAATACAGCTTTTGAATCTGGCTTCTTTCACTTAGTATAAACATGTATTGTATTCATTAGAAGTCATTGCTTTTTATTGATGAGTAATATTTATTGCATGGATGTACCATAGTTTTATCTATTTATCCAAGTTGGTCTCTGTTTAAAAGCTTCATGGGCACTCTGGTTTTGGGTTAAACTTGTGGGCTTTAGAGCCACAAAGGGTTGAGTTCATAATCAAGGTTTGCCACTTACAATGTGACATTGGCCTTAGGTTTCTTATCTATTAAATGAGGATAATAACAATACCAACTCCATAGGCCTATTTTGAAGTTTTAAATGAGCTTCTAGAACATAGCAAGCACTCAGCAAACATTTGTTTCATTCCTTTACCACTATATTTCTTCCCTTAAAAATTCTTATACGTTAATTTTTTTTTTAATCAGGCAGGTTTCTGTTGTAGGTTTTTTCTTTTACTAGAGTAAACAAAAAACCGTAATTATAATAAGAGCTACTCATTATTGAGAACTTAGGTGTACCATTAAGCATTTTACAAGTGACATCATGCTTAATCCTTATAAAAACTCAATAAATGTTATTGCACTTATTTTTATAGATAAAAGATTGAAACCTAATTCTGCCTGACCATGAAGTACTATGAGGACAGTCTATACCCTCAGCAAAATGCTTTCAAAGTGTTTTCTCTTTTAGCCAGCTCTCCAGAAATGG